GCTCTGCCCTGTCACCTTTTCGCCATCGTATCTGGGCGTACACGCGTTATCAGCCTCTTTTAGCGGGTAGCGGCCCAGTGTTCTCAATTGACGGGTCTTTCGGCTTTTAGCTGCAGTCTCTGTCGCTTGTTCCTCGCATAAAGTGGAAGATTTCTCCCAAGTAAAGGTTGCGTTCTGTATCTGGATAGCATGGTTTAGACCGGGTGTTGCACCAGGGTGGGCAGGAGACTCTTCAGATAATAGCAATGCTTCAAATCGCTTCAACGCAGCGTCGGCATCAACCAAGTGACCGATGGATGTTGGGAGCCAGTTCATAGGTGTCCGTAAACTGTTGAAGAGCGCCAGCGATGAGAAGATAAGTGCTGGGTCCAGCGGCCCAGAGTTCGTGGATGAGTAAACCAAGAAGGCTGCCATGCTGGAAAATATGGGAAGCGCCATCGACGCAGCACCGATGGCGCTTTTCGTGATATGTAAGATCTGCAGTGAACTTGTTTCCGAGGCTCTTATTCCCTGAAGTCGACGGAGAAAGGCCGATTCCCAGCCAAAGTATTTGACGAAGCGGATGCCATGAAGGATCTCCTGTGTGAGCCCAGCTCTCTGATCTGTGACCATAGTGACGGCGGCTCTCAGACGTGCTAGGACCTTGACCACTTTAGTCAACGTTGTGAGGCCGAGAACAAGCACCGCAACACCTGCCAATGCGCTATATCCCAGGTTGATGATCAATAACGTAATGGTAAGTAGAATGGCGATCGGCGACGTCCACACAAGGTGGAATGTGGTGCACGATTGTTCAATGCGCGATACGTCGGTTGAAATCAAACCCATGACACGACTATTCGACCATCCCTCTTTTGAGGCTTGCCACCGGAGTTGATCGTGTGGCTGCCCTGTCGGGACTATTGTAGCCTCGGTCATACCAAGTTCACCGCCCGCTCTGGCTCGCCTTGAGAGCCGCAGAGACTTTGAAAATGCCACAGCAATCAGTGCACTCCGGCTTTCGCCCCCGAATAATGTGCTGCGGTAGTGGAAGTGGCTCGAAGAGAAGCTTTGTATCACCTGCATGGCAGTTATAGCCAGCACAAGGCCGACACCGCGGCCAAGGGGTGGTTGCGAATCTTGTTCGCCCCTAATGAACGAATGGGCATCTCTAGCGAAGATTATCAAGAAACGCAGGGTGAAGGGAGCCATGGCCTGCAGAATAGACTCCACAAGTTGGCACAGCCCACCAACCCAGAAGTCAAACTTGAAGCAGCGGTGGAGTGCCCATGCAAGAACTGGTAGGCCCCAACGGCGTTGGGATCTATGGTGTTGTTTGTCGATAGCCAGGTTCTCGAAGGACTTTATGACACTCTGCGCCAGATAACTGGCGGAACGTGCTTGTGGTACGAGCCAGATATCCTCATACTCCAGTGGCCTCTTATAACCGGTCTGTAATCATCGGAGTCAGTGATGCACATCACACGTGAGAGCGCCCTTCTGAGCTAAAGAGACAGGTGGGAAACGTAAGGGTTTCAAGAAATCACCGTAAGCAGAGGACCGAGCCATGCGAAGAGAAGCTGACTGATGAAACTGGCATTTTCTTCCGGAGAAGGTATTCGACTTCTTGGTACGTCTGATGTTCGACGAGCTCTGAAAAGGTTGAAGTGTAGCATGGTTAGAATGTTTGATAGCCACTCTCTCTACCTCACAGAGCGCACAATCAGGGGCTGGTAGCTGGCTTCAGGGCTACACAGGGGTCGTCGACCGTTGAGAGCTTTCGCCTGTCACCTAAGTTCAAATTCGCTCGTCAACTTCACTGCCAGACAGCGCTCCGCTCTTCCAAGTGTCAAACATACCAAACTTTTGGCCTTTAGCGAAGTTTGATACATCCCACATCATTAATCGTCAGCCTTTGTTTGCATGCGATGCCTCAGGATCTGCTGGTAGATTGGCCGGCCACTGACCAATGGCACCAGTGCGTACTCAGCAAGACAAGCGGTCAGGGCCCTAAGGGATCATTCTGTGGACCAATATGGTGAGATTGGCGTTTGCCGAGTCTGCTAATTGAGCAAGTTATGACCTTGCATACGAAGCTGTCGCGTCAGCATATTGACCCTGCATAGGCCCCTGTCTGATGTCCGGGAGGGTGTGGGGGGGCTTCTAGGGTGGCCATCACAGTTGCTGTTGCGGATCAGTCCTGCGAGAAGGCTAGATGACGCTGCTATGTGCCGCGATAGCCTGTTGCTTCGCCAGGACTCCCAACAGACATTCGAGATGGCGACGCAAGGACTGTTCTTGGAGGAGCATAGGTAGCTATTTGAGGCCAGCATGGGCATATTTTTGGCCTCATGTCACATAATCTGCCCAAACTCGCTGCCTGATAGATCTTTGCGAAAATGACAGTTACACATCTTTTCCCTATTGACCCTGCTATTGCAGTCCAGCACCACATCGGCAAGATCAAGCGAGCTACTGATAGTCTCGAGGGTCTGTATCCCCTCAACTCGATTGACAAGGTTAACGCCGCAATCCCTCACTGGAATGAGCTTTACGGCGTCATCGGCTTCACTACTGTCGACACTGATGTAGAGCAACGACTGCTCAAACATCCAGACGTGATCAACTTGTTGCCTAGCACGCGCCGGGCGGTTCTAGAATGCGAAGCAGCTTTCGAAATTGCGTTTGCCAACGAGATTGCCGAAGCTCCAGAGTCTTCGACGGCGCGCCTATCCCTTTCACGGTTCCCAATTCATGCCTTTTACGAGCATGCCGCAGAGCTGGAGTGGACGGCTGCATCTACAGTTCTGGGACGTACACCACGCTCTGTTGCTATCCTCGGCGCTGGTGCCCTACCGGAGACTTGTATTTGGATTCAAGACTGGGCTCGGACACGTGGCGAGCGTGTCCGTGTCCATAATGTTGAGCTGGTGCCGTCAAGGCTCGAGTTGAGCCAGCGGGCGATGGCAACGCTCGATCTGGATTCTGAGGACACTACGTATGAGGCCGGCGATGCACGGGAAGTACCCAGGGATCTACGTCGCTTTGATACAGTGTATTTCAACGCCACCGTCGGCTCAACTGCCGAAGAGAAGGAGGCAGTCTTGCTCGAGGTGGCAAGCCGCATGACCAGTGGTTCCATTATGGTGTCTAGAGGCTCTGCTTCATTAAAGTCGCTTTTCTATCCTGTGAGTACCAGTTCAGACGAAGAGAAGCAGCAAGACATAACACTAACCTTCGCAGCCAACGATAATGAACTCTCCCAAGTTGATGAAGAAGTTGATGCCTGTTTTGACGTGTCACATGAATGGAGAGGAGGGCAGAAGCATCAATACGTCAATCATTGTATCTAGAGTCATCTGAGAGCTGTCGACTGCTCATCACTTGAGCTACGTCCAGCAAATTCGCGCTTCATCCGCCCAAACTTTGAACAGAACCCTCCTGAGTTTAAATCTAGGAAATCGCAGATTGTGAAGAATTGGAACCATGTCCTCTCATGTACAACAAATGGTCACTGATTCGAGGCCCGTTGGCTTCTCTGTTCCTTCCCCTCCATTCTGGCTCACAGCCACCTTGACCACCATCCAGTCGGTAAGAAACTTGCCCAAGCCGGCACCGACAAAGATGGCAACGATGATGTAACCGTTGAAGGACATGACCAGGAGCATTAATATGTAGGCGACAGAAAAGGTGATGGCGTACATGAGCGATCGTATGGCCTGTTGCAACGGACTGACACGAAGGCTAACGATTCGGACAGTAGGGGAGCTTTTGCTCGAGGGTGGTAACAGCGATGGGTTGGCGAGAGTAGCGGCCGTCACGCTTCTTTCCATCTGCGTAACAATTGAAGTATCGTACTCTTTACATGCGCGCCGGCACAGCTCGAGAGTGACGGCTAGGAGGGCGACACCAATACTTGAGGCAATCATCATGCCTTCAGTTCGGATGTACCATGATTTAGCGAGGAAACCTAAAACACGAGAGCCTTGTTAGCATCCTCGCTCAGTGGTAGATATTTGTCTTCAAGGGCGTGACATGACGACTAACACGATCCGACGGTGTTCCAGTTCCAGATCATCTAAGACAACGTTAATCACCTGTGATCGCGATTTCACGTCCGGGTACGCCGAAACGCTGAGAAAGGCGTAGGGATAAGTTACGCACCTCCATCTGGCACTGGAGATCACTGTCATCTGCATGCGATCCATGGCTCATTTTCCAGAGGTCACCGAAGTCGTAATACGAATGAAAAAATGGTATTGTTCGTGAAGCTCTGGAGCTCGAAGTTTGGAAGGAGTTTTTGTCTTCTGGATTCTGATGACGAGATATTGACTTTCTATGTAGGCTGGCCTGCTGCCGGGATCTTGTAAAGCTGGGCCACCATGGTGACCACATGTGAGATTGGTCACAGATCAAGGGTCTGGGTCAATCTGGCGAGATACCACACCGATGCTGAATCCTGCTCAACAATCCAGAAGACGCTGGCCAGGTGGCAGGGATGTAACCCAAGAAAGTTTGCATGTCATTGAAGATCTTGCCTTTTGTGGCATATTCCGTGCCGAGAAATTGTGTCCCCCACGAGGTGGTCTGCAGGGTGTTCTGAGACACCACCAACAAGCCAACCATAACCTTCTCAATTATGCTCTGTGGCTTAGGTCCTCGTGCTCGGGACCATGCGTGACCAGGGGAGTTTGCTCGCAATTCTAGCTTGCAGGACATTCAGTGCTCGGCCCGTCATCCTTTGCCCCAGCACCACGGCTTGTTAACTTCACCGCCAAGAGTTTCTGCATTCACACCTGCGAAGCAATCTTTGTGTATGGGGTTGGAGGGTGGAGAGCTTTTGTGCCTGTATATTACGGAATTGACCACCAGGTTTCGGTGGAAATGTGTATGCTGGAGTCTGTGGCATTGCCGTAACCTACACTTTGTACAAAGCATTTGCAGATCCTCCTTTGCTTCCCGTCGACACTTTCCATCCTTCATACTGCTTGGATTCTCAGTAGGCTTGACCTTTTCCCTCGAGAGTCCTGCAGCAAACGTTTTCTTGGTCAAAGCGGTAATCCATCACCCTGCGACGACCCAAAGTCTTTCTTTCGGCAATACCTATCTAGATCGCCGGCTCAAGTCTAGCTCGGCTGATCTTCTCATCACCATGGCCGACGGGGCAGAGGTCAAACCTTACAAAGTCTGGCACTATGGGTATCATCCGCGTACGCTACCTTGTACTGCTGACCAGGCCAACTGCGATTATCTCGACGCCCTCTGGGAGGCCAACGACCTAGGCATGGTCTATTCCGGCATTCTCTGGCTCATTGTTGGCGCAGTCCTTCTGATCATTGCTGTGGGAAGACGCTCACTTGTCTCACGTCGCACCAGACCCTTCATTTTCTCGTCTACATCCAACAAAGCTGAAAGCGAGTCCGCACCTCTCACAGGGACGCAGCTTCCGAGCTCAACGTCGCCGGCAATCGTATCTCGTCCTCTTCGTGCCGCAGCTGCCACTGCTCGTTCTTACCTTCTCCCTGATTCAATCCGCTTCGTTTTTGGACGCACCACGAGACTACAAGTCCTTATCCTCACGATTTTGGTTATTTACTTGACCATTTTCTCATTTGTGGGGATGACATACGCTCTTTGGATTTCCCCCGTTAAGGACCATCCTGGTGTCTACAAGGAACAGAACACTGCTGGAATCTGGTCCAACCGCATTGGTATTCTTGCGTACGCTATCACTCCCTTTTCCGTACTTCTTGCCAGTAGGGAATCCATCCTGTCAATTCTTACAGGCGTCCCATATCAGGCTTTCAACTTTCTGCACCGCTGGGTCGGCTACATCATCCTGCTTCAGAGCGTGCTCCACGCCATCGTGTGGTGCGTCATCTGTATCGGGCTCTATGGCCCACAGCCAGAGTATGCAGTCAACTGGGTAACGAAGGAGTACATGGTGTATGGTCTTTGCGCCATGTTCCTGCTTCTACTCATGTGGTTCTCAGCCTTGGTTTCATGATCGTGCGCATGACCCTTCTTCATCACCAATACGTCGGCGGCGATTGGGGCTTCCACCCGGCTCAGGCTCGGTTGACACTGTTTCCAGACACAGACCACGGCGATGTCGCGCGCCTAGACTTTACCTTCAATCAGTCGCCTTGGCATGTCGGGCAGCACTTTTATTTGTGCTTTCCCGACAGCAGCGTATGGCAGTCGCACCCTTTCACGCCGCTTTCTCTGCCTGTTGTGGGAAAGGAAGGCTTCGTCAAGCACTCCTACGTTTTCCGCGCGAAAGGCGGCGAGACGAAAAAGATTGCCGAGCTTGCGGCTCGTAGGCTTGCCGAGACGCAAAACGCAGGTTCTTCTCCGTTGCCTACGACGCCAGTAATCCTACAAGGGCCCTATGGCGAACATTCCACTCGCGGAATAGATGGAGGTGTCAATGTTCTGGCTATTGCAGGTGGTACAGGCATCACGTATGTGCTGCCAGTCATTCTTGAAACGCTCCAGTCCCAAGTCGATTCAGCGTCGGCAAGCGACCGCACTGATCGCGCAATTCAACTCGTCTGGATGGTCCGCCACCGCGACGACGCTCGCTGGATAGAGGCTGAGCTTGAATTTATCAAGGCTTCGGCCGGAAAACACAACATCCAGGTGACGATCTTCGTCACCCGCGAGCAGGAGGAATCTGGCAAGGACAACAACACTAGTGCCAATGAGAAGCTTTCCAGCGATCAAAAAAGCCGCCAAGTAACGGATTCAAGCTCATCTGCATCCTTGCCTGATACAAACGGCATATCTCTCAGGGATATTGTCACTTATAGGAATCCAGCGGGCTCAAATGACAGTGTTCGCCGGCATCCCGACGTCGGCACCCTCGTCCAAAACTTTGTAGGAGAGACAGTGCAGGGTCCTACGGTGGTCTTCGCGAGTGGACCAGGTGCTATGATTAGTGAACTTCGCAAATCTGTAGCCTCTTTAAACTCTGGGAAGCAGGTGTGGCATGGAAATGAGCGTTGGGACGTCGAGCTGAGAGAAGACAATAGGTTGGATTGGTGAGACTGCCTGCAAGGAGTGTCCGTTCATACAACATGTCATATTACGAGAACCTCTCCGACAAATAATCACACTCGTTTGCTGTACAAACTTCTCCTTAGAAAATATCTGCTCAAGCACATTGGCTGACAGAAAGAAACCAGGCACCACGCCAGTCAGTGACATTGGCCGCCATAGTTCGAGTTCAGGACGTATACAACATGAAGAGTCTCGTCACTCGTTTCCGGAAGGATTGCTAAATGAATCATCGCGATAGTAATTGTTTAGATTGTGCTCTGATTGAGTGGAAAGCGAGCTGAAGTGGGGAATAGAAGAATGGCCTCATTGTTCTGTATGCTCATCACAGCGTGGCTTGCAAATACAGCACATGCCACACGTCACGTATTCTCGGTGTCAGCCTCTATCACACAAAACTACCAGGATAAAAACGCTCTCAAATGGCCGCTGCTTCATGCAAAGTCAATGATACTGCAGGAGTACTTCCCTGTACCTTTACAAACCCCCACAAACATGCGGAACCCCACACCCCCCGCATATGTGTAAGCTTACGCCATGCAGAGAGAACACCACGACGCTCCCTTACTCGTCAGCGACTTGGTCGGGGAGACATATCTTTTTGTGGACATTTCGCGAATTTCCTTCGAGAGAAACGTTCTTTATTGTCTACCGAAAAGAAGTAGAACCAGAAGTGTCGACTCTGTATGTCGTATTAGAAGTATGCCAGCAGCACGAGAGGCGAAGAACGTTCGAGCCGCCCTTATTCGAGGATCTAGTATGTCTTTTCCTCCATTTCACTAACTCACCATCCACAAGGACTCATTGCTAAGCTTTCATGTAGAGTCTGTCGAGTGCCAGTGGTGGCTCCGTGATGACGCTACTCATCACCACTTGAAGAGGGTCTATGTGAACCCGGTCGCTGCGCGAGACTCACGCCTGGAGACCGTTGCCTCCGACTCGAATCCAAATTCTGGCAGTTCTTTGATCATTGTTGAAGATCGAAGTAGCTTCTCGCATAGGGAACAGACTGTCTTGACCGAGGAGAAGTCAACCCTTCTGGAGGAAGCCTTCAACTATCTCTTCTCAGCAGCATGCTCCGAAACAGCTACAACTGCTAATGCGGGCAAGTCTCGTGATCAAGCCCTCGCCTTACCTTCCTGTGTGTTTCTTCTTGCCGAAAATGGAGGTTTTGCCGTCCGTTCCGACTTTCTGGTGTATCGACTGCTGGGATGTTCGCAAGTGGCGTCGTCATTCAGCTTTCTTTCTACATCCACCAGAATCCTTCCCTTCACAGGATTCATCGACACGTGGAAAGATGTTACTAGAGCACTGGAAATCGCAGCTGGCGTCGTCTTGCTAAGGTCTCAGACTCTGGTGGCCTCCGGACTTCGCACGCCGGCATGTGAAATCCCCAGTCTCGAAGAGTGCATGTCATCATTTGAACGGCAGCTGGAACAGCGACTATCCTTCCCATGGCTTCAGCCAACTGCTATTCGGCAATATCGAGTCTGCCTTGTTATTCGCCCCCAGATTGTCCAAAGTTGGCTATCAAGGTGGCAGGCTGCGGCAGCCCTCGGGGTTAAGCTCGTGATTATCACAAGCGGCGACTGGTGGGCAGACGGTCTGGTGGATACTTCACTTCAATATCTCAGAGAAGCTCTTGTCCTGATCGATATGAGTACGAATAACGACGAAAATGGTTGCCTTCTTGGGGCGCGTATTGCTCAAGCTGCCAGAACATACCCAGAACCTATCGATGGTATATTCACCTCCTCCGACGATTACCTTGTCAGTGTGGCACACGCAGCCGAGGCGCTGGGTCTCTACACTGCAGGTGTGAAAGCTTTCACTGTTTCCACGGACAAATTCTACACTCGTATGTTTAGCGGTCAGGATATTGGCAGTACCTTCGCCGTCAAGTCCGTCGGCGAACTGGATAGTCAAATCGGGACAGCGGGAGACATGGACGGGAAGCTGCAATACCCTGTTGTCTGCAAGCCGTCCATAGGCCGAGGGTCTGAAGGCGTATTCAGAGCCGATAATCCAGATGAGCTCCAGGACGCAGTCAAGCGCATCTTGGCCATCCGGGATTGCCCCAATGGTGTAGTAGTCGAAGACTATGTCGAAGGGCCGGAAGTCGATGCAAACCTGGTGCTGCGCGATGGTCGTCTCCTCTTCGCCGAGGTGGTCGACGACTTCCCTTGCACGGCAGATACGTCGTCCAGCTCTCAAGGAGGCACCTTCAATGAGACGCAGACCCACACCCCGTCTGGCCTGCCGAACAACGAACAGGCCTCAGTGATCGAAGCAATGAAGCAGGCCGTTTTGCTTCAAGGCTTCAGATCGGGGGTTTTCCACTGCGAAGCAAGAGTGCGGAACTCCAGCATGGACTACGTCGTGGACCCGAGGGTGCCATTTCCGGTGCTCCAAATGCTCAAAACAAGTACCAAGACCAACAAGAATGAGCCTTCGATATTTTTGCACGAGATCAATGCCAGGGCCCCCGGAATGGGCAGCTCAACCGCCAGTCTGTTCTCCTCCGGTGTCGATTACTGGGCCCTTCAGGTTCTTTGTGCGCTTCGCGACTGGGGTAGGTTCGAGGCACTTTCCATCCCGTTCAAGAACTCCCCAACCAATTTCGTCTCGCTCGCCAATGTAGCTGTCGACGTGAGTTTAGCGCAAATGCGCGCACTCGACATCCCTGGATTTGCCTCCACTACAGGAAGCGAAGAGGGGCCCAAGCCCAACACCCGGATAGCGATCGATGGAGACGCATACCCAACTGGTGAATTACGGCGCAGCTGCCCCGAAATCATGCAGCATGTGCCATATCACGTCACCATAGCAAGGCCCAGCGATTGGTACGCAGGACAAAAGGGTAGCTGGCGATGGTTCACGACCGGGGTGGTCGTTTCGCCGCTGAGCAGAGAGCACGCCTTGACGATGGTGGACAACTTTACTCGAAGCTATGAGGAGCTTCTGCACGAAGCGCCCAAGGGATCAGCGACACATTTGCGACCTTGAGCGCGCAGCATGTGAACACGAGTTATGTAGACGTAACTATAAGCTTATTCATTACCGCACTGCGGACCGCCACCCGCTGCTTCGGCTGTGTAAAACGGTCTCCCTGGCTGACTCCACCCCCGCGTTCGACATGGCGCTGAGCTAGTTTGCGCTGGTTTTCCCGCACGGCACTGCAAGGTGATCATGCAGCACGGTAAGCCACCATGTCATCAGGGAAATAATGTGCAGATGGCCAGCAACTACTGGCAGCCGTGAACCCTGTCATAAGGTGCCTCGACCCTGAAGTGTGCACATTGCATGAGTGTATTGAGTCAGCTTGATAGTTACTCCCTTGCCCCAACGTCTCCTGTTGTCACGTTCAGAGGTAAAGAAATGACGAGTGCCGTTTATTCATCATACCTTTCTATTAGAGGTTCAACATGCCACCATGGGATCTAAATCTGGAGCGCAAGGTTCTTGCTCGCCAAGAGACAACAGATGTGAAGCCCGGTTCGGCCGGATTTGTTGTGACCAAGAGCCACCCAAGCCGTCTGATACGTGGTCTTCTCCTGCCATGCGCGAATGCCAAGGCCCTTGTTCCATGCGTGCATTAAAGGGCAGCAGATACTAGCAATAGAAGTACCATTTCAAAGCATCAGCCCCTGAGAGAAATGCGTTGTTGTGTTGCAGATCTGCAAAGGTTCGGTGCCTTGTTGAGAACATCCTGCAAGGGTCCCTCTTGCGCCAATGACGACGTCCGTGCCGCTGACCTCCTGAGAAGGTCGGCCTTTTAGGCAATTTGATCACCATCCGAGGTGCCGTTATAGAAATTACCTTTAGCCGTCTCTCATAACTGGAGTACGCATATGCACTTTCGTTGAGATTTCTTCCCTGTTCTTTTTTTGAATCACCCTGAAGCATACGAATCACCAACGGGCGGGGTACTTGGCTACAAAGCGACGCTGTCTTTGTCCTAGGAACAGTGGCAGACCATTTTACAGAGGCATGGCAGAAATGAGTTGGCCTTTGGACACCTTTTGTCGCTTGGACCGTGTTCGCGAGCGTAATCGCATCGCCAAACGAAAGTCTCGTAAGTACCGTGGCGTGCGCAGCGACAAATAACCACCTTCGAACCCATGGGCCGCGTTTCTAATGCAGACAAGCTTAGGCGCCCGCCAAAAGCTGACCCAGCAGTCTGGTTCTGAGGGAAGCACGTGTACGTGCTCTGCCGCGAGTGAAGAACCACCCGCTGCTGCCGACGAAGATCATGGGAACGGCTTGCTCGGTAGTGAAAGCTCACCAATACTACAGAGTTCTTCGTCTTGGCAGGATTACTCACCCCTAATTGCAAACGAGCTTACACAATCTCCCTCAGGTTGGCATAAAGGTTTCGAAAGCCCCATTGATCCAACTTCGTCTTTAAGGGAGAGTTTGGTGACTGCAGCTGTCGAAATCCACCCACCGTCCAAAGCACTTCCCGACCTTTCCGCTCAGAACTACTATCCTACACCATCCTTCTCGGCAACACCCTCGCCCTATATAGCTCCATTAGAGTTGTTAGACTATTCTCATACGACTTCCACGCAACACCAACCCACGGTGGCACACTATCGAGGCGAAAGATGGCCTGAGAACTTTTCCACGATCTGCTTGGCTGATGATTTTGTAGGTCCACATCCCAGAACGACTTCTTTTCCACTATGGGAATAAAAGTGCTAATATCGGTTGAGTAGTCTCGTGAGCAATCTCACAATAACTATTCAACGGAAGGGTATACCCAGGCGGCATCTCTTCAATGGAAGGATATGTTCGTATGTCCATCTTCCCCCATGACTTGCGATTGGTCTATTCACTCTAACACGTCCTCAGTCAGGACCTGCCCATTCGTCACAATACGAGCTGCTGTCAGAATCCGCGAAGCCTCGTCCTGGTGCAAGTTTGCTTCATATCGCCATCAAGAATGGTTCCGGAGGCATTGCCCACGCTCTAGTTGTTGGTGGCGGAGCTGATGTTGATGCACGAGACGTTGCCAACGGCGATCGACCCATTCATTGCGCCATTAGGGGACGTTCTGTCTCAATGTCGCGCATGTTATTGCACCATGGTGCCAGGCTGGACCTACGAAATGACGCGGGCCTGACCCCGCTAGATCTTGCTGTGAGGATGCAGGAAGAAGACATTGTAGAGTTGCTAATTGAAGGTGGCGCTCGAGTCTTGTGACTGTGATGCGAGTATTAAAAATCGGTATGATCAAAATTGAACCAAATTGACTTGGTGAAGAGTAAAGGTTGAAGAGGCTGCTTTGAAATCGGACCAATCTGATGCCTTATAGGCTACCCATAGAAGCACCTTCTTGCTTCGCCGCAAGATGGGACGTCTGGTCCAGAGCCTGCTCAAAATCCCGGACGATATCACTGATGTGCTCAATGCCTAGAGATAGCCTCAACAAATCCTCGTAAACGCCCATGTTCTCCATCTCCTCCGGGCTGCATTGTTTGTGCGTTGTTGACCAGTGATGCCCGATTATGGTCTTTGCGTCACCAACATTCGGTGTGTTGGTGACTAGCTTGAATGCATCGATGAGGGCAAAACCTTCAGCTGCTCCGCCCTTGAGGCCGAAAGTGAGCACTGAACCAAAGCCATGACCTGGTGTAAAATACTTTTTGGCCAATGAATGATCCGGGTGATCTTCAAAACCCAGGTATCGAACCCAGGCCACTCGCGAGTGAGCACGCAGCCAACGCGCAAGTTGATTAGCATTGTTTGTCTGCCTCTCACATCTCAGCGGCAGGGTTTCGAGACCGATGCAGAGCTGCTGGGCCGAGGGTGCAGCAAGACAGGCGCCTGTATCTCTCATGAAATCCCACTTCAGCATCTGCATGTAGGCTCGAGACCCAAGAGCGGTGTAGAGATTGGTGCCGACAACCTTGTCAGAGCCGAACTGACGGCCGTGGAGTTGTGGAAAGCGGGCGACGTTGGATTGCCAGTCCGACCGGCCTGTTTCGATGACGACGCCACCGAGAGTGGTGCCATGACCGCCTATCCACTTAGTGGCCGAGTGGATGATGATATCGGCGCCCCAGCGGGCAGGTTGGCAGAAGTACCCTGCCGCCGTAAATGTAGCATCGACAACGAGAGGAATTTGAGCCCCGTGAGCGATCTCAGCGAGAGGTTCCAGATCGGCAACTGAGAATTTCGGATTCCCTATGGTTTCGGTGAAGATGAACTTGGTTCGTTCATCTAGAAGCGAGCGGACGCGTTCGAGGTCGTTGGTGTTGCAGAATCGACTCTCGACCCCCATTTGTGCCATGATGAGCTTGAATTGATGAAATGTTCCCCCGTGGGTGAAGTTGGATACGATTACGTTGTCTCCAACCCTTGCCAGAGACATGGCAACAGTCAATGTGGCGGCTGCTCCCGACGCCAGTGACACAGCGTCGACGCCATCCTCGAGAGCGACCATGCGTCGTTCGAATGCATCGTTCGTTGGCTGCTCTTTGTAAGCGGGGAATGATACTGTGACGCATGCATACCATACGTTACCAAAGCGGCTATAGACCCAACGCTGTACATCTGGGACGGCACTGAAGGCATCGTCGGCAGCAGCTGAGCAGGGAAACTTGAAGGACGCTGAGTTAAACACTGGCACTGTGCACTCTCCATGACGGGGAGTTTTATCGAGCCCTGCATGAATGACCGCAGTATCATAATGCAGATGCCATGTTGCGCCAGAAGAAGCGGAAGATTGATCTGTATCAGACCCCCTTGAGTCGACGTCGCCTTCGAGACGTGAGATCATATTTCCGAGCTCTTCCAGGTTAACGCAGTATGAGGAGGTTCTACCGTTAGCGGGGCTGATGCGGGTCGTGAAGGTTCGGATGTTGTGAGATTGTTGCAATACATTGACGAAGTACGTAAAGAAGTAAGTATATGGAGTTTGTATTGCCCGTTGCTGGCAATGCTTCTAGAATCCAAACCTGCAACGACCCTGCACATGATCTAGTTTTGACCATGACCCTTGTTCCATGTGACGAAGCCGACCCTTTCGGGGAGATCAGTCGAAAGCAACCGGGGGGGTCTGCATTGGAGCACATAAGAGAACAATAGTCATGTCAGCCTCTGACCTTGCATGGTGCGCGAGATCTGGGTGTTGTGACCCTGCATATCGTACATGCAGGCATGTCGATCACGGCTTGGGGACACGGAGTTCATCCATGCTGCCTCTTATAGCGGCTTCTCCATACTTGTCAAGGTAAGCTGTTATTATGACAAAGAATACGAGCCAATGTCTTCATTTGTGAGCTTATAGTTTTTCTGAATAACTTCCTTATGAGTCTTACCTGGTTCCAGGACAGAAACACTGTCCATCAGGAAATATGCCGCGGAAGATACGAAGTGCGCGATAGTCATCCATCAGTCTTCAACCCACAAAGGCAACCCTTGATGAGGCAAGATATTTTAAAAAATCGAAACATGTTTGCAATTATAGAGTTTCCAGGGGTGACATTTCACGGCGTCATTGGGGACACCTTCTAGCCATGGTTGGGATTTAGATAGTGAAGACCATTGTTCGGTGATGCTGTCGTGCCGTAGAGTCTCCGGCCAGATGGTGACATGTGGCACCAATTGGGCCTAAAAACGCAGCACCAGCAACAGATTTTGCGCCAGAACATGATTGAGGTCGCTGAAATCTGCAACCATTCATCAGCTATTCACCGCAGCACGACCCACGCCACGATCCGATCAGGCCTTATGTCCGTCCGGCAATGGCTCGTCTTCACAGTGCTTAGGGCTGTGCCGGCTGTGCTGCTGGTAGTCGTCTTAACGGCCTGCGCCATCATCTGTTACAGACTGGCCCTGCACCCCCTCGCCCGAGTGCCAGGGCCCAAGCTCGCCGCGATCTCCAATGTGTGGTATGCGCTTCACGTCCATGATGGGCGCATGTTCGCCTTAGGCAAGACGTTGCACAAGAAGTACGGCCCTGTTGTTCGCGTGGGGCCGAACGAGGTGTGGTTTGACAGCAAAGATGCGTTCAAGAGCATCTATCGTGAGTCGTTAGAATCTTCAAGACCCTATAGCGCCCATGACTCACTTTTACAAGGGGCCGGCAGTGGCTATGAGAAGTCCGAGTTCTACTGTGAGGCATTCATTGGCATTGACTGAGGCGTCGCCAACCTTCGCACATGGCACTTGAGGCTGACTGCGTGCAGTGGCCACTCTGCTGCAAAAGCCGACGATGGACTGGATGGGCAGATTGCACTTCCCTGACTCGCTGGACCTCTTATCTGAGCGAGACATATCACGATATCGCCTTCAGAGGCGTCTTATTGGTCCCATTTACCAAACGGCATCTCTCAAGCGACATGAGCCTGCTAGTGACGCCGTGCTTGGGAAGGTCGTCACCCAGATCCGGGATCTCGACGGAGCCGAAGTTGATTTGAAGGAGTGGATGCATATCATTGCTGTCGAATGTCTTGGCGCCATTGTGCTGGGCTGGTCTCCGGGCTATCTGAAGGACAAGACAGACTGGGGCTCTAGCAGCCATGGCTACTTGGGTTGGAGACGGAAGAGCGTCTTTGGACTATTTCCAATGATTGTCAAGGCCGAGATCATCTCGGGAGAGATCAGTTACGCGTTTGCTCGTCTCTGGGGACTTACTCACAAGGCTGCTAAGACCTTGAAACCCTTCTTTACGGTATAGTACCTCATCCGAAAGCATACGCCGTCAGCATCGCCTGACTGCTCGTAGGGTGTTTACCGTCAGTCGTCGCGACGCATCACCGCCGAGCTCGCCCCAAAGGCCGTCAAACCTTCCAAACTCGGCAAGACCAAAAGACCGTCTGCTGATGATCGTCATGACCTCCTCAACGACTTGATCCAGCTTCACAAGGAGAAGCCCGAATTTAACGAGACATATCTGCGGCGGATGGCCGTGACCAACTTTGGCGCCGGTCATGAGACCATGTGCTCCGCTCTGACTTCCATCATGGCCATGATCGGGTCGAACCCGTCTGTACAGGCCAAGGTCGCAGCCGAAGTGCGATCAGCCGAGGATCCCTCAAAATTTGATCACGCCACGCAATTGATGTACATGCAGGCAACAATCAAGGAAGCCCAGCGCCTGCATCCGGTCCTCGGTATGTCTCTTTCACGGACTGTTCCGGCCGAAGGCCTGCAGGCACATGGCCACCATTTCCCCGCCGGTACCATCGTCGGCTGTAATCCGGTATCGCTTCACAGAAACAAAGAAATCTTTGGCGTCGATGCCGAGTCGTTCAACCCAAGTCGATGGCTTGACACGGACGATGTTCGGACCATGGATCGGTATAATTTGACTTGGGGTGGAGGGAACAGGATGTGTCCGGGACGGCACCTGGCGTATCTCGTTGTCTATAAGGTCATTCCAGCCTTGCTGAGCGAGTTTGATATCGAGGTCTCAATGCCGCCGGAGGAAGAGATTCGATATTACTTCATGGCCATGTTGACGGGCGTCAAAGTGCGCTTCCGGCCTAAGGCGGGTCTCGACGAGGCACAGGTGACAACGGGCGCCCCGGTGTGAGCTGAGCCACGGCAATGCAATTTCAATGCAATGAATGAGACATTCTTCACATGATTACATTGCTACTGTAGTGGCCCATACTTGGCGCTCTTGGCGCTGTTGAAGCAACAAGTACCTCGTAATGAGTTTCCCCGAGATATCGCAATCAGCAGACAGAAGAACACAGCGTCAAAAGAACTTCCTATCGATAACCTTTTGCCCTGCTGGGGACTGTGTTGGTTCTTGCTTTGAGAGGCAGGCAGCAATCTACAATCGTTGATGACACTGACCTCAAAGCGTTCTTGCTTTATTACTCAATCTCGAACCACTACGATCTGCGCCGAAAACACCAACACGACATCTCTACACTGCTGCCGCCCAACACCTGCACATGGTCTGCGAGACTCAAAGTTGGTTTGTCATTCGGAAAAGAAATAAGCTCTGAACCGTGTCAAGGTATAACGATGAAGACCTCGAACCCCCTTTGGCTTGTCGGCCTCCTAGCTCTTGACCTATGGGTCCTGCTCACGAGCGCCGGCGGCGTCAGTCGGGATCTTGTCCATCGGCAGCTATACTCCGAGGGTGGCGAGTATCGCGGTCCAAAAGATGAGGCCGGCATCGGGCGAGGGGACCGCTTCAATGACGGCCAAGACATCCCCTACGGCGCAGGGGTCAAAGGTCGCAGCGAGAATGCCTCCTTCTACAATTTCAAGACGATCCTCGGCCACAAGGAGATCGAATCTGCCATGAAAGCCCTGAAAAACGAATACGGCATCATGCTCGCCCATCCGCCCGAGAACTCATTCGAGGACCGCGAAACCACCATCGGCATGCTTCCCTGTGATGGCACCCCCCTCGGCATCACCAGCAACAGTTGCGGCATGCCCTCAACCTACAGCGCCTACTTGACCGGCTCTATCCACGGTCGCGAGCGTGGCACCTCGGACGCCATCATATACTTCCTTTCCGATCTCTTGTACGCTCGCAAGCACGGCACGGGTCTCGACTACGGCAATAATGTCAAGTTCACCAATGCCGAAGTCCATCGTGCTCTTTCCGTCGGCATCGTGTTTTACCCCATGGTGAACGTTGACGGCGTCATGTGGGACCAGGACATGGACGACTGCTGGCGTCGCAACCGCAACACCGACAGCGCAGATGGTGAGGGGGAGAACAAGCAGGTTCCAAACGGGCTGCGGAACACGACGGTCGGCGTTGATATCAATCGCAACTTTGACTTTGCCTTTGACTACTTCCGCATCCTCAACTCGACCTTTGGCTATCTCGGTAACTCAGCATCCCCCAGCAGCGAATTCTTCCAGGGGAAACACGCCTTTTCAGAGAGCGAGAGCCGCAACGCGGCCTGGGTCTTTGAGGCGTTCCCCAATGTCAGCTGGTTCATGGACGTTCGTACATTTGGTCGGCACATTTTCCATCCCTGGGGCCTCGATCTGAACCAGGTGAGCAAGCCGGAGCAGAACTGGCAGAATGAGGAGTTTGACGGCAAACGCGGCGACACGTGGGACAGCGAGTACGGCGAGTACATGGATCGTGCCGACAACGACCTACACATCTCGGTTGCTGAGAGCATCGCTGATGCCATGGATGGCGTAGCCGACATGACGCACACCTTTGGAGAGTCGGCCTATCTGTATCCGCAGACAGGCGGGATCATGGACTGGGCTTATGCACGTCACATCCTCGATAGCAGCAAGACGAAGGTCATGAGCTTCACCATGGAGATGGGCGATGTGGAGAGCGAGGCTATGGATAACCTCAGCGAGATCTGTCCATTTTATCCGACTGTCGGAGCTTTCAACATTGCTCTCCGCGAAGCCGCTGTTGGATTGATGACGTTCCTGCTCGCGGTCGCGGAGAATACTCGTTAAGAGAGTAGAGGTGTTGATCAGTGTGGACGATAGCAATGGTTATGGATGGTCATACAATGCGTTGCGATTGTCAAACATGTCTTATAATGTACCAAGGATGAAGCGACGGTTGTGATTGAAGACCAAGTTGATCGAGTGTCTCCTCGCTTTACCCAATATCCAACATTGATTGTGCTTATGTCATCACCAGCCGGCAGCCGGACATTTGTGACTCCGAGCCTTGCGGCTGCTACCCCACATTGTGACATCCCACCTTTGTGCTACACCTCCGTCCAAATTGCCACGACCCTGTCGCCTTGTTGCCCATCCGCCTTTCGCAACCACGTGCTTAGGATCATCGTAAGCCCCCTCCAAGCGGCCACGACCCCTACGATCCAGCCGGCTTGACAGCCGCAACCAACCCGACAAGATGGTTCTTCAAGATCTCGGACGCCGTATCAACACGGCCGTTTCGGACCTGACGAGGGCGCCGAACCTCGACGAAAAGGTACGCCTTCATCTACACCATCATCCTTGCGACAGCCAGATCAATTTCAAAAGACCATACATAACAGGTGGCGTGCGG